GCTGCTGCGCCCGCAGCCACAGCAAAAACTGGGAAAAGGGGGCCTCCTGGGGGCCCCCCAGGGGGCCCCCAGGGGGGCCCCCTAAAGGAAACAAGTAGAGGGCCCCTGCTGCTGCAGCAACGCCCCCCACCAGAGCCAGCAGGTGACCCCGGTGGCAGAGGCCCAGCACCCGCAGGGGTCCCCCCGGGGGCCCCCTGAGGGCCCCTCTGAGGGCCCCCTTGAGGGGCCCCCCGAGGGGCCCCCAGAGGGGCCCCCAGGCCCTGAGGGGGGCCCCCCAGGGGGGCCCCCCAAGCAGAGATTGCCTGGGGCCTGGGGCTAATATAGTGGAGAGCCGATTGGCCCAGATGGAGTCCCAGGGGAGGCGAGAGAGGATGCGGCAGTAGCCTAGCTGCTGCAGGGCCCGCGCTGCTGCTGCTGCTGCTGCTGCTGCTGCTGCTGCTGCTGCTTGAGATGAAGGCGCTGGGGCTGCAGCTTCCCTTCTTACAGACTGCAGAAATCGAGGCTGAGAGGAATGCGCAATAAATTTTGGGGGGCCAGAGATGGAGACGTCGCTGCTGCTGCTCCTGCTGCTGCTGCTGCTTCTGCTGCTGCTTCTGCTGCTGCTGCGGCTGCTGCGGTTGGGGATCTTGCTGCGGTTCCTGCTGCTGCTGCAGCACCTGTTGCGGCTCTTGCTGCTGCTCCTGGTGCTGCTCCTGCTACTGCACCGGGTGCTGCTCCTGCTGCCACTCTTGGTGCCGCTCGTGCTGCTGCTGCTGCTGCTGCTGCTGTTGTTGTTGCTGTTTCGCTGCAACGGCTGCCCTGGCTTAACGGCATTCATAGTCGGGCCGGCACTGGGGTCCCGATGGCTTTCTTAACAATGCACACAGCTGCAGCAGCAGCTGCTGCTGCAGCATCACCAACAGCAGGAGACTTGCTGCTGCTGCAGCAGCAGCAGCAGCAGAAGACGCGCTGCTGCCTCAAGTTGCTCCGTCAGCTAGCTCTACATACTGACGAAGCCAACTCACTTGAGTTGCTGCTTTTTTTTCAGCATTTGCTGCTGCTGCTGTTGTTGCTGGAGTTACTGTTGTTGCTGCTGTCCTTGTTGTCGCTGCAGCTGTTGCTGCTGCTGCTGCTGCTGCTGCTGTTGAGTTGTGCTGCGAGCCGGGGGGCCCTGCGGTGAGTCAGCGCGAGGAAAATGATCGGGTGGAACTAAAGAGGTGTGTTCTATTGTTGTTGCTGCTGCTATTGCTGCTGCTAGGAAGCTGTAGATGTGCTGTTGCTGCTGCTGCTGCTACTGCTGCAGTTGTTGCTGCTGCTGTTGCTGCTGCTGCTGTCGCCGCGGCCCCGCATGTCGGGCCCCACACAAGGTGTCCGTTGGCTCAGATTTAAAAGCTGTTTAATTTAAAAGTGTTTTTATTCAACAAGACATTGATAAGATAAACGTGGAGAGCAGCCTGGCCCCAAACCCTAAACCCTAAACCCTAAACCCTAAACCCTAAACCCTAGGGCTCCAAGCATCGATGACCAGACAGCGGTCTCTTTTCTCCAGGCACTAGATCGAAGGTCCTGGGCCAAGGGTTTAGGGTTCTGTGTAGGGTTTAGGGTTTAGTTTAAGGTTTAGAGTTGGTATGCGATATACGGTTTGGCCTAGGGTTTAGGGTCTAGGGTTTAGGGTTTAGGGTTTAAGGTTCAGGGCTGGTGGCTTCGCTCTCTGCTGGCGCGCCTTCCCGTAGAACTTGCAGTGCCAAGAAGGAGAAACTGAGCAGCAGCAGAGCAGCTGCAGCAAAGCTGCAGCAGCAGCAGCCACGATAGCAGCAGCAGCAACAGCAGCAGCCACAACAGCAGCAGTAGCGGCAGGGCAAGCTTCACGTAAAGCGCCTCTGTACAGACACCCCAAAACATGTTGGACAACCCGCTGCTGGACGAAAGTGAGGCGCCAGCTGCTGCCAAGCCGCAACCTGCAGCAGCAGCAGCAGCAGCAGCAGCAGCAGCAGCAGCAAAGGATCTCGACCTTCAGATTGAGCCCGCAGCAGCTCACTCAGGCCTGGAAAATGTAGGGAGCAACAGCAGCAGCAGCTGCAGCAGCAACAAAGAGAAGTTGATCGCGCCTGACAACGGCGCCAAGCCATGTACAGCAGCAGCAGCAGCAACAGCAACAGCAACAGCAGCAGCAGCAGCAGCAACTGTGGGGCCCGGCAAGAATGGGGAAGAGCAGCAAACCAAAAAGAGACCTGCTGAAGGAGACATTCGGCAGAAGCCGCGGCAGCGGAAGAGATCGAGGGGAGACAAGATAAGGCAGCACAAGCAGCGCGTGCAGCAGCAGCTGCAGCAGCAGCAGCAGCAGCAGCAGCAGCAAGACAAGGGGGACCCAGCAGCCACTGCAGCTGCCGAAGAACCGCCAAAAATCCCGCGTCCTCCGAAAAAGAAGTTTGTGCTGATCATCGGGTAAGAAACAGAAGACACGAACTGAGGGTTTAGGGTTTAGGGTTTAGGGTTTAGGGTTTAGGGTTTAGGGTTTGTGGACAGGTACAACGGGCTGAAGTTCCACGGCTTCCAGAAGCAGCTGTTGCTGCAGGGCTCCTCTGGGGCGGACTCCGAGGACTCAGGGGCTGAGGACCCGCAGCCGCAGCAGCAACAGCAGCAGCAGCAGCAGCAGCAGCAGCAGCAGCAGCAGCAGCAGCAGCAGCAGCAGCAGCTGCGGACTGTGGAGGGCGAGCTAGAGCTGGCGCTGCTGCGCTGCGGCAGCATCGCCCCCGCGCACTTTGGCTGCCTGCAGCAGCTGCACTGGTCTCGAGCAGCAAGAACTGACAGGGGGGTGCATGCAGCAGCAGCAGCAGTGGCTCTCAGGCTTTCGCTGGGGCCTGTCTGCTTCATCAGCAGCAGCAAGGGCTGCCCCCAGCAGCAGCAGCAGCAGCAGCAGCGGGAGGGGCACGGCGAGCAGCAAACGGGCCACGCACAGCCGAACGGCGTGCACGGGCAGCAGAACGGCGTGCAGCAGCAGCAGAACAACCCGCTGCTGCAGCAGCAGCAGGAAGAGGAGAAGGAGCAGCAGCAAGAGCAGCAGCAGCAGCAGCAAGAGCAGCAGCAGCAGCAGCAGGCGAGCGATGGGGAGGAAGAGGAGCAGTATTTGTCGCGGGGTGTACAGACACTTGACAAAGAATCCATTGCTTTGTGGCAGCAGCAGCGGCGGCTTTTGCTGCTGCAGCGGCTGCAGCAGCAGCTGCCTAGCGACATTTGCTGCTTCGACATTGTCCCCGTCACCAAGAACTTCGACGCCAGGTTCGTAGGGTTTAGGGTTTAGCTGGGAAGCTAGGGTTTAGGGTTTAGCTGGGAAACTAGGGTTTAGGGTTTGGCGCCGGGGCGCTAGGGTTTAGGGTTTGGCCCCAAAGGTTTAGGGTTTAGGTTTTGGGGTTTAAGATTTTGCTCTGGGAACTGGGGGGCTAGGGTTTGGCATGAGGGTTTGGGGTTAAGCGAAAAGGGGATTTAGGGTTTAGCGCAGAAGCTATAGGGTTTAGGGTTTGGCGTTTAGGGTTAAGGGTTTAGGGTTTAGGGTTTAGGGATTTCCCCCAAGGGTTTAGGGTTTATGCTTTAGGCCCTAGGGTTTAGGGTTTAGAAAAGAGGCTTTAGGGTTTAGCGCCAAAGCTGGAAATAAAAATAAGAGTTGATGTGGACTCTCCACGGCGCTGCTGCTTGCCTGCTGCTGCTGCTGCTGCTGCTACTTCCTTTGCTGCTGCTGCTGCTGTTTAATTCGCTGCTGCTGTCTACTTAGCTGCTCCTGCTGCCATTTCTTGTGTTGCTGCTGCTCCGCCGTCGCTGCCGCTGCTATTTCCTTGGCTGCTGCTGCGTGCTTTGCTGCTGTTGCTGCAGGTCCCTTTGCTGCTGCTGCTGCTGCTGCTGCTGTCTTATTTGTTGCTAGGCCTTTATCCTTTGCTGCTTCTGTTTGCTGCAGAGTCAGCTGCTCCCGCCGGGTCTATGAATATGTGCTGCCGCTGTGGCTGCTGCAGCCAGCAGCAGTTCGGGGGGACCTGCTGGGCTCCCACGCCCGCTGCATGCAGACAGACGCAGCAGCAGCAGCAGCAGCAGCAGCGGGTGAGGCAGCGGAGCCGGACGCAGCGGCGACAACCAGCACAAAAGCAGCTGCAGCAGAAGGCGAGGGGGCTGCAGCAGCAACACAGTCAGATGCAGCAGCAGAAGCAGCGGCAGCAGGACCAGTGGCAGCTGCAGCAGCAGCAGCAGCAGAGCCAGTGGCAGCAGCAGCAGCAGCAGCAGCAGCAGCAGCAGCAGCAGATGTTCCAGCTGACGCGCTGCCTGTCTGCAACGAAGTGCCTCCTGAGCTCGCTTCTTTCTATCCGGACACTCCGAAGCGGCTCACGGACGAAGAACTCATAGTAAACCC